TTTTGTTTTGTATTTATTAAAAAAAAAAAAATCCCGATCCCCGATTTTTTTCTTCCGATCTTTTGAAAATCACGTGATCGGCTCCGATCCTCGATCACGTGATCGGATCGGGACATCTCTAAATAGACACAAACTTTATTTTTCATCCAGTTGCATTTGATTCACATCACAATGATGCTTCATACAAACAAAATGTATTTAGCCTTTTATGCCTCTATCTTGCTTCTGTTTAAAGAAAAAAATTCAAAGAAAAGGATTGCAATTTGGAAAGCATCTTTAGAGCAACACACTTAAATAAACACAAGGAGCATTTTTACACTTTACACAATATTCTAGAAATTGGAGTATGAGCTGCACGTGCATGCTTAGTCGCTGTTCCTGGAATTGTGCAATGTAGTGGAAAAACATTAGGAACATAGGTGCATACAAGCCTGAGGCCTAACATATGAGAAAAATGCCAATATACTGTAGGGCTGTCTTTCAAAGTGCACTGGTGCATGCTGACAGGGGGATGTCACATCGTTTTTCTGCTCATCACTTTTTGACCCCGTCCGTAGCTGCAGACACGTACAGAAAGGCTGAGCCAAGTGGAACACAAAACAGGAACAAATACAGGACACAATTTCTCATTCAGAGCATTCCCATCTGAGCCACATGTGTGAAGCCCAGACCGCATCTTTAAAATCATCTAGTAAACAAATTCTAAAATGGTAAGAATATCTATCGGGCACAAGAGGGGGGCCCACGTGTCTCTACAGCAGGACATTCTGCAGAGCATTTTATGGAGCTCTATAGTAACCTGCACTATATTAACTGCCTCACACACTCTATATCACCATCATCAGTGAGGTCTTCTGGTTCTGTCATTACCCCTCCCCCAGACCTGATCTCCTTTGTTCCGTCCTGAGGATCATCCATTCCTCTTGGGTGATGTTTGCCAGTGAACGACCACATGGCCATTACTGGTCTTCTTCTAGAATATATATTTCTCCACCCTTGTTTCGTACTGCTCGCTTTTTAAAACCCGTCATAATCCCTCTGTGGTTCAATGTGATGGACCTTTCTGTATACACAAAAACACAATCTTAGAATCAAACATTTGATCAGTTAACAATCAAAGATCTCTTGATGAAAGACTTAATTCATTCACGTATAGATGTAGGTTTTATTAAAATGGACTCCATATGAAATCTTAAATAATGTAAACGTACAACTGCTTAAACTTTAGGAAAACATTGTTAGGTTTTAGATTAAATGAATAACACTATAGGTAGTCGTTTCAGTTTGGACATCGGGGATGAGAGGATGACGGGCTTTATCAGATGACTCAAAAAGTGGCCATGGGTCATCAGGTCACCTTATTGTTTTATGGCACATAGATGATCAAATAATCTGCTTTTATGAGAGGCACCTGTGACGACAATACTCACACACACACTTAAAAACAACACAGCATGTAGGGGTTAGTGCTCCTTGCGTGCAGGCTTGCAAACATTGCTCTCGTGCAACATTCTGCAGTCTTAATAAACAAAGTCAGAGAGCGAAGCCGCTAGTTTTACTGTACATGCAATCATGCACGGCCAAACATATAAACACACAGATGTTCAGGTCAAAGTCAGCACACACACTCATAAACACATATGTCACACAGATGAGAAAGAGGCCTCTGAGAGAAGGGTGGGGGAATAACACACTGTCACAAATATGTGTGTGCATGCTGTCATACATATGACCATCAGGGAAAAGAGGCGGCGGGGACCCAGACTGACATTGAAAGAGACACAACATGCAAATAAAAGTCATTAGAGATAAATTGACCGGACCAGCTATAGTCAGGCAGCGTCTGGTCTGTAGGTCATTGGTCACATGTCAGCTGATAGTGTTTTGGTGCAAATTGTAGACGTATTGTTCCTTGGAAATTGTATCAAACTGTTGGAATATATATCTGATAATTACTACAATTATATCGTTTTAAATGTGTGTCTTATTTGACTTTTTGTCTCATTCTTTAGGGTGGATTAGCCCTTTGTCTGGCCAGCCAACACACCATCACTGATATTACTGTGGAGACGGACGGATAGAGGGAGGCAAAGATGGAGAAAGGGAGTAATGAAGCTATGTATGAGCTTTCCCTGGTGGTTTTAATGGTGAGTGCAGGCCGTAATTCACCTCAATGCACGCAGGCACAAATGAATGCACCCTCACACACGCGCACACACACACAGGCGCCTAAAGCAATACTTTGACTCTCTCTTTGTGTGAGTCCTACCTTCCATTTAGGCCAGAGCAGGGAAGATATATGGATGTGTGAAATACAGTGACCTTGACAGTCTCTGTGTGAGTGTGTTGGGTGGGGGTGGGTGATGTTTCTACACTGACTGTGCACCAATACACCATCTATGAATCATGATAGTGGTGCACCAGTACATTTTAAAATAAATCAACAACAGATACCGTAATTTTCTGACTATAAGCCGCGCCTTTTTCCCTATTTTTCGACGCTGCGGTTTATATAACGGTGCGGCTAATCTATGGATTTTTACAGCTAACGGCCAACACCTTTAACTCTATGGGCTCTATGGGCTCTATGGCCGGTCCGCGGACCCCCACCTTTAAGCGGCGGGTTCCAGCAGGAAAAGCTGGAGGCCGGAAAAGAGTGAGACAGGTAGCGCGCAAAAGTAAAAGTGGAACCGAGAGTGGTATGCCGCTGCTGCGGCTTATATTCAGGTGCGCCTTATAGTCCGAAAATTACGGTACAAATGGTCTTCGATTAGCTGTGACATGGGGGAAAGAAAAGGAAAAAGCTCTGACCCAGATGTCCTGCTTGTCATTGATGGGGAAGTTGGAGTAGAGATCGATCATCTCTGGCGTTCGGTACGCTGGAGTGGTGTTCCTTGTGATCTACAAACAAATAGAAAAATAAAATAAACAAACAAACACCTTTTCCACTACCATGGGTCTTTTAATAGACCCAAGTATCAGGCTTGTTTGGTGAATCTTTAAATGATGTTCATGTATGCAACTTTTTTAGAGAACCTTGGGACTTAATTCTTCTTCTTTTTTTGAAATTAAAACAACAGTTATTTGTTCCCACACGCTGGGCATGCTTTTGAGAAAGACATTATTTGAACTCAAATAAACACATGCCCGCCTCAGATATTCCATCCTAAAATGGAGCCTGAAAACTGGTGCCAGATTGACGTGCAGCTTATTACATTTAGAAACCAGGATCCCTGGGGTCCTGCATACTGAGTACATCTGTGTCAAAGCTCCTGTGTGTCGTGTGATTACGGTATAAATATAATCATGGTTGATCTGTGCTTCCTGGACCTCGAGCTGTTAATTAAATCAAACGTTTCTGGTTTTAGTTCGACACCAGTACGCCAGTATTGTCACTGATCCTTTTTTGCACTATTTGTATTGGTTTTATCTGTGTTATGTCCTTTATACATACATGTTGCATTGTTGGAGGAGCCTGGGAATTCAGCTTTTCATTGCCATATCTACACTGTAGCTACTGTAGCATATGACAATAAAGCCTTGAATCTTGAAACGTCTGTATGTGTTTTTCTCCATTCAATTAAAGAAATAATTGAATGGCTGATGGCTCCCACAGGATTGTTGACATCCTCGTAGATTCATCTTCTTATTATAGACACATGCATTTCCAAACATTTGGTCTACCTATGCTGTAAAATATATTATGTCTTCGATTTACACACGGCATCTATTGCACGTCTGTCCGTCCTGGGAGAGGGATCCCTCCTCTGTTGCTCTCCCTGAGGTTTCTCCCATTTTTCCCTTTAAACTGTGGGTTTTTCTCTGGAAGGTTTTCCTTGTACGATGTGAGGGTCTAAGGACAGAGGGTGTCGTATTGTCATACTGATATTCTGTACAAACTGTGAAGTCCACTGAGACAAATGTAACATTTGTGATATTGGGCTATATAAATAAACATTGATTGATTGATTGAAATAACTCTTTTAGGGAAATTTAGAGTATTTATTATGCAGTCTAAGAAAACTGGCAGTTCCTTTTGTCTTAAAAAAAATGACGAATTAAAATAGTGGCTCAAATAGAATACTTATGTAGTGTGAGACTTCATTCTGGGGACATGCATTACAAAACACATTTTATTTTAAATTGATTACATTTTCTTTTTTTATTAAAAACAAATATACTAGAAGTATCAGAGTTTGAGCAAATTGATACAGCAACACATCTTGACCTTTGTGACAACAACTTCTGCTATGTCTTGCGATATGTTTAAAGAGATATGAAATGACCTATTATGTGAGAGGATGTACTGTATGTAAAAACTGTATTATATAGATTATTGAGAGAGTGTGTGTGTGTGTGTGTGTGTGTGTGTGTGTGTGTGTGTGTGTGTGTGTGTGTACCTCGTCCTCCACCATGGACCTCTTCTGGGCCGACCAGCTGTAGTCGGGGTAATGAGACACTGTGGTGGCGCTGCCAAAGTCACACAGCTTGATGGTGCCCTGGTTACTAATCAAGAGGTTCTCAATCTACAACAAATCAAGTCAGCAGAGGGTTGGAATGTCCATTAGTACACATGTAATAAGCAATTAGTAATGTGGTAGTCACTTATTTATAGTACAAGTATTTGTTGTGCTTTAGATTGCAGTGGGATATGGTTCAATCTCAGTTATATGACAAAATGTAGTGGTCCATTAATTTCACTCAATCCTGTTGCTGCTGCATGTTATGGAAACCTCATCATTCACTCAGTACAAACCTTGAGGTCTCTGTGTGTGATGGGAGGCTTCTGTTTGTGCATGTGCTGCACGGCACGGCACGACTGGTAGAAGATCTTCAGCACAGTGTCACATGACATGGGAGCCCTCTGCTCCACCCGCTTTATAAAGTCTACCAGCTGACCTGGGGGGGGGGGGATATAACACAGATACATGAATGAAGAGCCATACAGTAAGACCACTCACTCCACAGATGCCTCTTTATCTCTGTGGATTTTAAATGTTTTAAATCATTTGGGAAATATGACACAGATAAAAGTATTAAATTATGTTATAAAATATTATCAAATAATGAAGAAATGCACCAAATTCAGAAGGCTCACAGCCTGAGGGAAAGAGGTGCTCTGTAGTCTGGACGTACTTCAGCATATCTTCTGTATCTCGTGCCAGATTGCAGCAGGGGGACAGGCTGAGGCTGGGGTTAGCCCTTTAATCTCCCTCGGACTCTTAACTGGCCCCTCTGCTCACAGAGTAGAGCAGGAAGTTGAAATATCGCTGACAGGAAATTGTTTCATCACGACTGCCTTTGGGTTAGAGCGACTTCTGACTAATCAGTAGAGATGCACTGGTTGCACATTTCTTGGCTAGTTACAATTTCAGTTTTTACCTTCCGATTCCAAATGTATTTCCTTTAACTAACTTATCTTTCATGAAAAACGTACTCTCAGTTGTATTTTTCTTGAAATAGCTGAGCGATCGGGATATCTCATTTGGTTTGATGAATGAATAAGTACTGTTGCAGTTGTAAAGAAGTAAACAAAGATAGAAGTAGAAAACAAAGTAGAAAGCAGTGAGACAATGTGTGCAGTTACCTTTACACAGCTCAGTGAGGATCAAGAACTCCGCCTGTCCAGTGTCCGACTCCTCCTTACTGATGGAGGCAGCGGAGCAGAACTGAACCATGTTGGGATGACCCGACAGCTTTTTCTACAGAGCCAGCAGGTCAAGGAGCGTACAGGTTAAACATTACTTTGGATTCTCAAACGCAAAATACTGAACATCTTCTGAAGATGGGAGCAGCGTCCACCTGTGGCTTGTTGAATCCAACAACACTTTGGAGGGTGTTTTTAATATGATAAAAGTGACTTAGTGAGATGAATCATTATTGTGATCACTAACTTAATTAATCCAAGTCTGCCACCCACGGAGAGAGAGCCAAGCACAGACAGTAAAACAGTTCTGTAGCTTGCTGTTAACACAGTGACAGCAGGAAGAGATTATGGTTGGGTGATAGGAAGAATTTACTGTTGGCTTCAGACTCTTATTCTGCCTCATCAGCAAGGGGCATTAAACATTATGCAAATAGTCAGGATCTGAATACACAATGTGGTAATGGTAAGAGGAACCCAATCCCCAATGTGCTATAACTCTTGAAACCACGCAGTAAAAGTGATGTCCGAGCATTTCTAGCTGCTCGACAAAACAGTTACAGTTCAAATCTGTTACAGTTATGTCATTTAAAAAAAGAAAACCTCTACGAAATAAAACTTCTCCTGAAACATTACAATACAGTGGATGCTTCAGTGATTTGACATTTAGATGCAGAAACTTATCATTAAATGATCTTGACAACCACTGAAAACCACATTTGTAAATAAAATCCTTCAAATGTATTTTCTGTCCTGCTCGTCACACCATCTAACACAAGAAACAGACTGGAGTGCTTCAGGAAAGATACACAAAAGTAACTTAACAGTCTTCTTTGTCAAACCACAATGCTATTATGAAACTAAACACTGTAAATATGTATTAGTGCTAGCATTGAGCATTCTGACAATGTGTGGTGTTGCCTGTAAACTACAAATAATCCAATAATGGCAGTTTACTACGCTGGACAAACATTCCACAATCTTGTAAATGAATGGGTTAGAGTTGCCTTTGTCACGCACTTTACAGAACACTGATCAGAAGAAAAGAACAAATATTTTCATCATGGTGTGGAAATGATTAAGGATACCATGAAGCAGACTTCCTGTATGATTTCCTTGTTCTTCTCTTCCTCGTTGGACAGCAGCCTCTGTAACAAAAGCACACAAACAGAGAACAGTGGTTTGTTGTTATTCTGCGACCAAGTGAGACATCATCTTTTAAAGAGAGACGGCAAACAAGACTGTCCCTACATATACAATCAATAAACCGCCTATAAAAGGTATTTGCTTTGAACATGAGAGAAGACTGGTGTTTGCCAAGTCAAACAGGATAACCGATCGACTGCTCCTGCTGATTATGTGGAGTGTGGAGTTCAATGGCCACTTACACAAGCAAGCAAGCAGAACCTGAACATGGCCATAACGTATCACATTGCTTTCCTCAATCATGTAGTTATCATTTTTTTGTCCTGCATTAAAAATGTTGACAGGCAATTGCTGAACGTAAACACAAAACAAACAGCATCTTGACCTTTCAGCAGCATTACACAGAAGAGAATATTCTCAGTTGATAAATGCACGAGTACACAATCAACATGGACAGAATATTAAAACATGAAGCAGATGGTCCCAACAAAATCCAAACTGTTACATAATTCATTCATTCTTTCTTTATTTTGTTCGTTCTTCAACTTAGTTAAGGGTATGTCTATTGAGCAATATTATCAACGACATACATAGAGAAGTAGTATCTTAATGTATATTTAGCATATCATAGTATCTTAATGTATTTGTACTGTTTTACTGTAAAGGGTAATGTCCAGTTGGATGTTTAAGTCCAGTCATAAAGGTAACACGGAACATACACATAAGCAGTCTTAGCACTGATTGATATTTACTACAAGTAGGTACAATTCACTGCATACAATGTATTTGAGAATAAGAATGTTTATGTGGACAGAGTCCAATGTATCATTATTCGCCATTGCCATTCCTTGTACAAGTGAGTGAATGAATGAAAGAAAGAACACGCACAAACAGAGAGTGGCTCCACATGTATCAAGCAGCAGGTAGAATGTCCTCAGTGAGTCCACTTGTGTCTTACCTTGAGGGCATAGTCTTTCCCACTGCTCATGTCCTGGGCTTCATACACAAAGGCAAATCCACCTGAGAAAAAACAGAGAGCACCCAGGTTGTTATTTTGTTTAATTGTAATTACATTTATGTGAATAGCACATGCACTCTTGAGCTCCGAAATTATGCATAATCGTCAATTGTTCAGCGCAGGAAGAGCTGTAATACATTTTTGCAGTTTTTGTAATTTGCTCTGATTGTTGTACGTGCAATCGGCTTAATTGATGACTGGCTGTTTGGTTCAAAAGTAGTACTATTCATTGAAACAAAGGCTTCACACTTGGTATATTTGTACATGTCACTGCTCTGTCACTTTGTTTTCAACTTCAATTTCCCAGCGCTGATTTTTTAAACCATGCTTTACATGCACTATTAGACGTTAATGCCTGAAGGCTGCCAAGTGTAACCACAGTCTTATCTGCTGGCCACTGAGCAGCAACATTGGAGAAAATGGGGATTAGGTGCCTTGCTCAAGAACAACACAATCTCACTCCTCAAAGTATTGGGCCACTGCTAATCTCTAATATATATATATCTAATATACGCCCATTAACTGAGGGTGTAACTGAAAAAAATGAACTGGTGTCAATGTGGGCAACGCTGCAGTAATAATAAAATATATGGGAGGTAAGAGACATAGTTTTTAATAGAACAGCAGCACATTTCTCTAATTACAACATATTTGATGAACAATCAGTTCCTCTGAAAGCCAAGTTAATTAAAATGGGCCATTGCCAGTGTAGTTTCAATTTATTTTTGTGATAACTCGAAATGTTATATTAATTTAAAAGCCACTGTGGCAAGTGGACAAGAATCTTTCATTTCCTAACTTCAAGTGGGTCCATCTTTGTATGCCCATGTATTAAGCAGTCCAAACAAAGAAGAAGAAGATATACTTTATTAATCCGTTACAGGGAAATGTATTTCCCCACTCTGTTGTGTTTACACACATTACACACGCAGGGGAGGATATACATGCACAAACACAAACAACATGCAGATAGGAGAGGTGGCAGAGCAGAGAGGCTGCCAGGTACACGGCGCCAAGGGAGCAGTTTCGAGGTTAGGTGCCTTGCTCAAGGCCAAGGGCACCTCGGCAGTGGCCTTGGAGGTGAACTGGCACCTCTCCAGCTACCAGCTCACTCCATCTTTTTTTTTGGTCCGATCGGGACGTGAACCTTCGGTTCCAAGACCAAGTCCCGACAGCCACTGCCGCCAGGGGTAGGTTACCATAGTGATGAGTAAATCAACAACCAGCCTTGCTTTGCTCCGTAAGATCTTGAATGATCACACTCAGGATCCTAATCTTTAAACCTTTTTTGCTCAGGAGAAGTAGTCCTAATTGTTTTAACCTCACCAGGGATTCAGAGCAACCACCCTATGGTCACTGACACTTATGACTTAAGCATGAAAGGAAAACACTGGATTTATTGCATTTTTGAGTCCATGCCCTATGCCTAAAACACACACTTTACCTTTGTACACAAAGCAACAATTGGCTATCAAAAAACACAATTTACTGTCCATTACAGCAACATTAATGTGCCATGCTTTGCAGTGAGGATTCACAGACGCCCCTTTTGGGGATCACATGGCTTCCTCTGTCTTTCTCTGCCAAAAGGGCTGAAATCTGAAATGCTCCATTTTCTTTGTTCTAATTACGAATGAGGGTATCTCCATCACACCAGAATTGATTAAATCTTGCTATGACAATACCTTTGTGGTGTAGGAAAATGATTAGAGGAATAGATAGTAAGGAATGAAGCACAGTATTTCCACTCTGGTTCTTAATAAAGAGACGTGTCTACAGTTTCACCTGCTCAGATGAGGGCATGAAGGCCAAATGGAGGGCTAAAGGCCACTGCTCTCAAACAAACTGATCATTCAGGTGGATATATTCATTGAGAGAATTCAAAAGAATGAGCTCAAACAAGATGACAACCACCACTTGTGTGATGACTTTTTGCAACAAGCAACACATCAATTGACAGACAAGCTAGTAATGGCCCTAAGAAAATAGGATGAGCTTGTTATAGGCATCCATTGTATTCTCTCTCTAAAGATCTGGTTGAGGAAACACAACAGAGACACCTTTCAAAGAGCAGAAAGGGAGACTGTCATGGCTGATCACAACACCTTGAATATACTTTTGATCAAATGATGCTGAAACAGACAACAATTTTAAGTCATTATTTTATCAAGCAAAAATGGAAAGCATTAATTGTGGCTTCTTAATTGAGAATATATTTCAGTTTAATATCCTTGTAAGTTGAGTTTAGGGATCGGCAATTCACACAAGATACTGACAATTTAAAGACTTTTGAAAATCAACTTGTTGATTGTTTTTGCAGCCCAGTTAGTTTTATTTTTCTCCAGATATACCTTTATGTTTTATTAGCATATGCATAACTATATATTAAAGAAAAAATTGTTTTCTACATACAGTATATCCATTTAAAATGCTGTAGGGACTGAATACCTATGAGTCAGAGGGTTGCACAAAGAGGACATGGAAGTGGGTCTGCCGGAGAAACACTGGTTTCCTTACACTTAGGGTCCTGAAGCAATCTGTCAGAATTAGTCAGCAAGTTAAAGTGAACAGAATTTGCACTTTTTCAAATGACACAACAAAGAGACTTGCTGTTATTTTCTATGGAAACTTTGTTGTTGCAGTTCTTCCACCGACTACATGATGCGACTAGTCAACAGTTAGTATAAGGGAATCATTTAGACTTTTTAAGAGTTGTTAAAGGCACATTTAAATTAGAGATGGCTCATTTTGGTTATGTTTTTTGGCAGGTTTGTGTTGAATTACATAATAATTAATAAACTTAACAACATGGATTGCTTCAACTCTGACCTAATGGTTTGACCATGCTGAAAACTGTTGACACTGGACAATGCCTTACTTATTTATGGAACTAACTCACTGCATGTTAAACTGATTTTCTGTGAAATGCATTCCTGGTTAGATCATTTACAGTTTGCATTTACATTTGATTAAACAAGTTTGTTTTTACATTGTACACCCAACATAAAGGTCTACATTCCACAATGACAGTCGGCTCTACCTCTATGCAAGGAACTCAAGATGCATGATAGTGTAGTAAGAATGTCGTGCAACTTCACAATGAGAGCAAGAATCCCTGTTCCCTGCCAGAAGGGAAGGAACCTGATCTCTGGGTTACACGTGCCCTGTAACCAGAGTTGTTGCAGACAAACAAATACAGGTTGATTCTAAAGATTCAAACTCAGACACCTAATTGTGATCTAATGTTGCAGTAATAGTGGACCCATATCATTTAGCAGAATAGGATGATGGGACACAGTTAAAGAACACATTTTCACAAAAAGTACATGCACTCAGCCATTATCTCCCTTAGAGGAATCCAGCAGAGCTCTGCAGAAGTATTTGCACTGTTTCAAAAAGTAAGATATTTGGTAATAACATTGGCATCATTTCTATTTTTACTTCATATCTTTCTACTATACTATGTTCTTTCTTGTGTGTTAAAATGTCTTTTAGCCAAGGAAGATGACACGGTTTGGGCTCTGTAGCAATCTGTGGGTTGGGAGTTGGTTGACAAGTAAAATGCAGCTATGCTGTTGCTGCAGATCATGATTTGAAGCCCAACGGAGATACAGCTACGTTTACGCACCATGTAACCTGAAACTTCAGGTTTTCTATGTATCACAATCTTGAAATGTAGTAATGCTTTTAGAACGATCGAAGCCACATTATCAACTGGTGTTTACATGGTGACTCATAGCTCTGCAGGTGCAAACGCTATTGTCATTGACTACCATTAGAAATATGTCACTGCTAGCCTGTTAGCTCGTTCAGCTACTTAGCATGCCTAGCAGCGACCGACGTTATCAACATTTCTCATTGTCTCACACCGTCTCACCTTCAGCGATCACCCTCTTGATCCTCAGCTTCATGTCACCGAGCTCAACGACCTGTCCCACGAAGTCATTCTGGTCCCGGCCTGCCAGTCCAGACGATCCGGGCCCGGCTAGGAAATCCAGTGCTGACTGGAACAGGGACATTTTATCCAGCGCCCTGCTTCAGACTCACAGAGGCCGGCTTAAGGGGGGGAGATCCGCTGTGTAGATCCCGGCAGACTCAGCAGAAAACTCCACGGCTGTTTGTTCTGTTATTAAGGCTTATAATCAGGTGATATTATTCTTTCACTGGAAGCGAACATCCTCTTCCTGCTGCTAGGCTGAAGAGGCCGCCACCGTCGCCAGCGCTGACTTCCGTGAAGGATGATGACGTCAGGACACGATTAAATCATGTGATGTACCCATGGATGTACCATGGGATTTACCCATCGATGTACCATAGAGAAAAACGTACAATACCAAAAGTTCGAATGACATTTTGGGGAGTCTCAAATGTAAACATTTTATAAAAATGTTTTAGCAGAATGTTTTGTTGTGTTAGGTGTTGCAGGTGGGTATGGTATCACCTGTGCAGGTCTGCATTGTTAGACAATATTGTTTTGTATTGGCTATTGTTTTTATTATTTGTATTTATTATGGTGTCAAACTTACAATATTCCTCTAAACACAGAAGAAAAGTTTTAATTTCAAGTCTTATCCACAGACTCAAATCAAATCAAGTTTTATATAGCACACAACGATTTTTAGTCGAGCCAAAGTGTTGTGCATGCAATAAAAACACTTCACTGCGATAGCAAACAGAAGACAATCAATTACAACAGCAAATGTAAAAATCAAACGCAGGGAAATGTCAGTAGTCGTACTCCGCTCTGACTAGAAGGCCAGGGAGAAGAAGTGAGTCTTCTTTAGTGCAGATTAAAAAAAAACTATAGGTTACTTACGTAACCCCAGTTCTCAGAGTAACATGAAGTGAAATGTCTCACTATGGGATGCGCTTCAACGCGTATGCAAACGGAAGCATCAATCTCATTACGCCAATCCTGATTGGCTGGTGATCTTGACGTCTACGTCAGGGAATCCACCCACCCTATAAGTAGCTTGCGCTGCGACGCAGCGTCATTCAAAATAAGCACCTCTTCTCGCTTCGCCTTAGCAAGAAGGGCCGTCTGGTGAGACATCTCACTTCATGTTACTCTGAGAACTGGGGTTACGTAAGTAACCTATAGTTCTCATTCATAACACTCCGTTCGATGTCTCACTATGGGATATTGAAATTCCCGTATTGCTAGACATGCTTATCTCGAAAATCACCAAAACAACCAGAACTTAACAGGTAGAACCCTGTCTCAACACGGGGCCCAGCAATGCGCGGGCCACACTTGGAGCAGAGACATCTAGCCTGTAAAAGCGGACAAAAGTGAGCGGTGAGGACCAGCTCGCTGCTGCACAAATGTCTTGGATGGAAACACCCTTGAACAAAGCCCAGGATGTAGCCAGTCCACGAGTAGAATGAGCACGCAGGCCCGTTGGTGCCTGCAAACCCTGACTCGTCTAAGCCAGAGCAATCGCTTCCACAATCCAGTGGGAGAGCCGTTGCCTGGTAACGGGCTTGCCCTTATGAGGGTTAGCCCAGGATATAAAGAGTTGGTCATTGCAACGAAACTCTTTTGACCTGTCCATATAGGTGCGTAAAGCACAAACTGGACACAGCAAATTTGGCCGCTGTTCCTCAGAGGAACACAGCGGCGGAGGAAATGCCACAATGTCAATGGGGGTACATGAGCCAACCACCTTAGGTATAAAGGCAGGGTTGGGCTTCAGCAACACTCTCGTTTGCCCCGGGGCAAACTGAGTGCATGAAGGATGTACAGAGAGCGCATGAATGTCACTGACTTGCTTGGCAGATGCCAGAGCCAATAACAGCACTGTCTTCAGTGACAGATGTTTCATGTCAGCTTCTTCCAGGGGTTCAAATGGAGGTCGAGTGAGCCCATCTAAAACCACTGCCAAGTCCCATAAGGGCACCAGTGACCTGGAAACAGGGAGGAGCCTGCGAGCCCCTTTCATAAAACGGCAGACCAAAGGATGTTGGCTAGCCGTCTTTCCCTCAAAGCCCACATGGCATGCAGCAATAGCAGCCAGGTACACTTTGATCGTAGAGAAAGCTCTGTGTTTATCAATTAGGTCCTGTAGAAATGATAAAATCACCCCGACAGGACATTGAAAAGAGATGTGTCCTTTTTGAAGGCACCACTCCTCAAACACCCTCCACTTACAGTCATAGAGAGACCTGGTGGAGGAAGCTCTTGCACTCTGAATAGTGTTTATCACCTTCTGAGGGAGCCCCACTGTATTC